GGGGAAGGGGGGGGAGAGAGGGATAAAGAGAGAGAGGGAGGAGAGAGGAGGGAGTGGGAGGAGAAAGAGGAGAGAGGGAGGGAGAGAGGGAAGGAAAGGAGGGAGAGAGGGAGAAAGAGGGAAAGGGAGGGAAAAAGAAAGAGGGAGAGCAAAAAGGAGGGAGGGAGAGGGGGAGGGGGAGGGAGAGAGGGATAAAGAGAGAGAGGGAGGAGAGAGGAGGGAGTGGGAGGAGAAAGAGGAGAGAGGGAGGGAGAGAGGGAAGGAAAGGAGGGAGAGAGGGAGAAAGAGGGAAAGGGAGGGAAAAAGAAAGAGGGAGAGCAAAAAGGAGGGAGGGAGAGGGGGAGGGAGAAAGAGGGAGGGAAAGAGAAGGAGGGGGGGGGGAGGGGGGGGAGGGAGAGGGGGAAGGGGAGGGAGAGAGGGATAAAGAGAGAGAGGGAGGAGAGAGGAGGGAGTGGGAGGAGAAAGAGGAGAGAGGGAGGGAGAGAGGGAAGGAAAGGAGGGAGAGAGGGAGAAAGAGGAAGACGGAGGGAAAAAGAAAGAGGGAGAGCAAAAAGGAGGGAGGGAGAGGGGGAGGGAGAAAGAGGGAGGGAAAGAGAAAGAGGGAGAGGGGAAGGGAGGGAGGGAGAGGGGGAAGGGGAGGGAGAGAGGGATAAAGAGAGAGAGGGAGGAGAGAGGAGGGAGTGGGAGGAGAAAGAGGAGAGAGGGAGGGAGAGAGGGAAGGAAAGGAGGGAGAGAGGGAGAAAGAGGAAGACGGAGGGAAAAAGAAAGAGGGAGAGAGGAAGGGAGGGAGAGAGGGGGGAGGGAGAAAGAGGGAGGGAGAGGAGGGAAGGAGGGAGAGTGGGAGAAAGGGAGAGTGAAAGAGAAAAAAAGAGATATTATGGATAGTCCTAAACTTACAACTGTTCATTTAGTAACCATTCAAAGTTACAACGACCCTGAAAAAAAAGTGACATGACCATTTTTCACACATGACCGTTGCCGCATCCCCATGGTCACACAATCAAAATTCAGACGCTCGGCCACTGCTTCCTATTTATGACCGTTGCAGCGTCCCAGAGTCCCGCGATCCCCTTCGGCGACCTTCCAAAAAAGCAAAGTCAACGGGGAAACTGGATTCACTTAACAACCGGGTTGCTAACTTAACAACTGCAGTGATTCGCTTAACAACGGTGGCAAGGAAGGTCGCAAAACGGGGCAAAACTCACTTAGCAGATGCCTCGCCTAGCAGCAGAAATCCTGGGCTCAACTGTAGTCGTAGGCCGAGGAGTACAGGGAGTCCTCAACATACGATCCCAATGGAGTCTAAAATTCACCTGTCAACAATGTCTGGACTTCAACTCCCAGAATTCCTCACCCCCTCAAAACAAGGCTTCTCCGAATCCTGCTTATAGTACCGTATTTTTCAGAGTATAAGACGGACCTTTCCCCCCCAAAAAAGAGGGTGAAAATATGGCTGCGTCTTATACACTGAATACAGCATTTTTGGCCTCCTGAAACCCCGCCCCCTTTGCAAAAAATGGCCATGCATAGCCTTTAGGAGGCTTGTAGAGAGCTCCTGGGGACTGGGGAGGGCAGAAACGAGTGAAAACCAGGCCGTTTTTTGTTCATTTTTACACACACACACACACCAGCACTCTACAAGCCTCCTAAAGGCTATGCACGGCCATTATTTTTGGCAGAAAACGGGCCCGTTTTTTGCTTGTTTTTGGGTCCCCCCCATGCCCGTTTTTCAGAAAAAGTGAGGCGTGCAGAGGGTTTGGGAAGCCTGCAGAGTGCAAAAACTTTTTTTTTTAATTTAACTCTTTAAAATCTTGGTGCGTCTTATACCCCCCAAAATACGGTAGTTCCTTCCGAGCTACCTTACACCTCGCACGTACCTTTCCGCGTAAAGCTGGCTGAGGACCCAGGTGAGCTGCACCGCGACGCTGCGGACCTGTTCGTAATCGTCCATTAAGAGTTTGCAAGCCTGCAACGGAAGATATCCCAGGCGGTTATTAGTGGTCGGCCGTTTCACCCTTCACAGGGAGTCCTCGGCTTACAACAGTTCGTTTGGGGACCATTCAAAGTTACGTCACTGAAAATAGCGACTTAAAAACAGTTTCTCACATTTATGGCCCTTGCAGCATCCCCACGCCTGCGTAATTGCCGTTCAACTCATATTTACGACGACGGCAGTGTCCAGGGGTCACGTGATCCCCTTTTGCGACCTATTGACGAGCAAGGTCAATGGGGAAACCAGATTCACTTAACGGCCGTGTTGCAAGTTGCCCTCGACTTACAACTCCAACTTACCTTCCATCCGACTCAGCCTTCCATCCTTCCGAGCTGAGTAAAATGAGGACCCGGATTGTTGTTGGGGCCAATATGCTGACTCTGTAAACCGCTTAGAGAGGGCTGAAAGCCCTATGAAGCGGTATATAAGTCTAACTATTGCTATTGCTTGCTTGCTTACCGTATTTTTCGGCGTATAAGATGCACCAGCTGTTTGACGGAACTTGCGCTGTGGGTGCATGTGAAATTGGCCGGTTGCTTTAAAAACTGGTATAGACCGCAGGCGGGCGGGCCAAAACGAGCCACCGTATCGTATGCTGTCAGCTGTTCCCCGCTACTACCGGTACGGCCGAACCGGGCCATACTGGCTGGAACTCACCACTGGAGCATTGCTCATCTAATTGCTTGGTTAGGATTATTTGTGAAGTAATTGCAGTTTAATTATCTGCAAGGGGGAGGGGGGGGAATCCTAACATAGTGTTTCTCAACCTTGGCAACTTGAAGATGTCCGGACTTCAACTCCCAGAATTCCCCAGCCAGCATTCGCCACAGAGCTAATTGTCTTAGGGGCAAACATATTTTTTTTTTACTTTTTAAAGCATTATTAAACTACCTGTTCTCCCC